GTTATCTAGCTTTAGTTGCTCTGTTGTATAATTCCAGATTTCTAGCCAGAAAGGAAATGAGGAAGAAATAAGAGAAGGAAGGAAGGAAGAAGGTGGGAGAAAGAGGTGGAGAAAAGAAAGTAGGAGGGAAGAAGGAAGGGAGGGGGGGAAAAAATCTCTATTTCATGTTACTTGCCACTCCAGTTTGAGAAATGGGAAATTAACAAAATGAATATAAACATTGCTGGTCAAGCATCTGCAGCCCATTACAAATCTCTGCATAGCAATATGTATTCTTTTTCTATATGAGCTCTCATTTTAGCTTTTGTCCTTTCTCTCCCATTCAATCTGTTTCGCATACTCTTTCCATATAATTACAGTAGGAACAAAATTATAACCCAGAAGAGGATGTAGCAATATGTGTGCAGAGTTGATCTTGGAAAAGCAATAAGACATAAAATAAAAAATAAATCCCAAACAGGTCTTTTTATTTAACATAAGGCCAAAGAAGCTATCAGGCGTTGCTGAATACTGTCCACTAACTGTACAAAATATTGATTGCATGCCTTGCAAACACCAAAATATCCGCTGGAATGCCATAGAAATAAATAACTTCTGCTATAAACACATGAAAACATATCAAACTGTTATCTCTTTAAACATATTGTAAATAAAAAATTACCAGTACTTCTACACAATAAATATTAAGAAACCATTGACATAGTTGAAATGCACTCATATAAATTAACAACTTTAATTACATTAGCCAAACAGACATTGGTTAAAGAACTGCATGTAGTATGTCAAAAAAAAATAAACAAAATAAAAACAAACAAACAAACAACATCAACCACAGAACATAAAAACTTTTATAACAAAACAGGCTTCAGGTTATCTTGGCTTTCATAATTATATTTTTCTTTTAAAGAAAAATATCAACCCATTGTCATTTGCACTGTTTTTTCAAAACATTTAAATAGAGGGTAAAACCCATTGGAAATAATACAGAAGAAATGATTCACTCTATGCATAAAAATAAATAATATAGCTGAGACATGTGGTTTGTTTCTGTTCTTGAAGATGTGAACAGCTTCTAAGCATTCATTTTCTCTGACCCATACAACAGCTTCTCAGTGACAAAGGGTTTAATTTAAACACATACAATGTCCACCCCCAAACCTTCTGCCCACATCTACAAGTTTCATTTATTGTGTAGGTTTTCAGGGTGACTAAGTTTTTCTTTACATTGGAAAGGGAAGTTGCCAAAAGGCCCACAGGAAATATTTTTTTTCAAGTGAACATGATCATTTGAATCTAAGCTCAGTACAACTGAGGCATTTTAGTTCTCTCTCTCTTTTTTTTTTAGAGTCACCTCAAGGTCCAATCCCATGGGGGTGAAATGAAAATTCCCTTGCTCTACCTAAGAGGAGAATGCAGGCACTCTCCTTGAAAACAGAGTGTGGAATCAATCTTAAATAAATAAGAAATTGATTGGTCTTTGGGGACAAGAAAATTCCAACTCAGTGTGCTGAAACTTGTCTTACTTTTTAGCAAAAGAACAAAAGTTTCAATGCAACGTACAAAATAGTTACCATTCTTCAAAGCTATTTGGTGACAAATGCTTTTCAGAGCTTTTAAAGTTGGTGTGGGTAGGTTTTTTTAAGAGCATAGAAATTAGCTCTAGAGAAAGAATGGAAAGATGCTAAGATTAGATCAAGGAAAACATACTATGTAAAACCCAATACGATAGAATTTAAAAGCTTTTTCTTTTGGTCTCATGCTGCTACATGAAAAGTACAGTGGTTCACAAGGCTGCATATCTTCCAAGATTATTAAAGGTATTAGCAATTTATAATTCTATTTCAAGGCCATTTAAATGTAATGAAATAGGTTAAAGTTTACAAGTGTGTGATAACATAATTAATTTAAAATAAATCATCCCATTAAAATATTCTCTCATGGAATTTCATTTTGCTCTGCTTATCACTACTGTTGTCACTGTTCAAAACTCCCTCTCACCCCCAATATGTTGAGGACTTACAGGGCTTAAAAAGATGGCATATATATTTGAAATGGCATCTATGTCAACTGTTTTTGTCACCTCTTGCTTTATCCATGGCCTTGGTCACCTTTGCTATTTCATAGTGAACTAGCATTTGATTCCCCACTCTATTTTTGGTCCAGTACCAAATAAGAGGCAGTTCAAAAGGCCCTCAACGTTCAACTTTTTTTAAATAAAAATTTGTAAAATATGAACATTGACACCCACTCCCCTCCTTAAACTTTCCTCACACACCCAGCTTTCCCACCTGACTGATTTCCTGGTAAGCGGTTAAGAGGAAGTTAAGTACCAATTGTAGTCTCCTTCTCATAATTAGAATCCACTCTCCTGCAGTACATGTTGTTTCCTGCATAAGAAATAGTAAATGTCTGCAGTGTAGTAAGTATATCTGCCAGGTAATGACATTAAAGTGATTTGCCTACGCACAGCCTAGTGTTACCAATACACAGATCTCATACAACAGCTAAACCACCTTTGGTAACATTTGGTTTCTCACTAATATTTTATTTTCTTACAGCTAATTATTTTTTAAACCTATGAACTGACAGAGGGCTGAGGTCTCGATATTATACAAAACATTAATGACTGTAATTTTCCCCAATTATTAGAATTTTTTTAAATTTTGGCAACAAATCAGTAAAAATAAGGTTCTGTATTTTTTTAAAAAGCACATAAATGATTAACTTGGAGATGTTTTAGGCAAACTAAATACTGTTAAATAAACTTGTAAGAATTTAACTTTAAGCATGTACTTTGATATTTGCATCTGAATTAATACATATCAACTTATACATCAAAGATCTGGGCTATAAATTAAAATACTAGGGGTTTTTACTCCTGCTCCCATTCCTGCCTCCTCTTAACTATTCTCTTCCTTAATTCTACTCTCTTAACACCCTCTACCAAATTATTTATCTTTTTTAACTAGTGACAACAACATTACTTAGTCCTAATAGTTCTCACAATTAGGTCTGAAGCATTTTTAAAAATTGCACTTAACTCTTTAACTCTTTTATTCTGGACTAAAAGTTAAATATTTTTTTCTGGAAAAGCTTCTCATTTAAGATTGATTCCAAAAGATAATAAATATAAGCTGCAAAAAAGTAAAGTCAACCTAGAGCTTTGATGAACAGGAGTTTCCTGTTTGTCCAGCAGGGAATAATTGTAGGCTGGGAATAAGGGACGAGGAAGAGGAGGGGATTGGATCTCTGTCCATGGAAAGAGGGCCTTGCTGAATATTCACTGGAATTTCCAGGCTTTTTCCCATCAAACTTTTTGAAATGTGCCCACCTCGTTCAGAGTAAAAGCAAAAACTATAACCTCTCCTTCTTAAAAATACTGTGTTTTGCACACAAACATTCATTTCTTTAAAAACATTAAAAAATGACAGCCTGAAGTGCTTAAAATGTGTATGGACATGATGGAATACATGTATATATACACACAGATATGCATATGCACAAGCAATGTATATATACATATACAAGCATGTAGCATTTCATGAATTTGATTAAACTTGATATCCAACAGTGTACAACTACTGTACATCCAGTATGAAATGTCCTGTTTCATGAATATAAAAGGAGTCAAAAATCAAACTTCTCAGGTCTTTTAGGCCTGAACACAATCTACCCTACTCCACCTTGAATATCTCAACCCCTGACTCATTGATGGTGAATGATAACCAACCACAGACAGACTGTTTAAAGGCTCACACAAATGTCTTTGGTGTATGTGTCTATTTTTAAGGTACAAAATAATAATAATAATTATAATAATAAAAATAGCTATTTTTGTGTGCTGTAGCAGTTCTTTTATAGCTCACATTAAGTGCAGCTTTTACCCCTCCCACCCCCACCCAAAGAAAATACTTGTTAAATAAGGATTGGACAGGTCAAACACCATTGTAGTGCAAATAGTAAACGATAAAAAAAAAAAAAAAAGAAAAGAAACACAACATTTACAAAATATAGAAATGTTTGGATCCAACACATGGACAAACATATTCCTTTCAAGTATCTCTCCTTGAAGAAAATAAAAATTAATCAGGTTACTTCCAATACAAAAAAGTCTCTCTTTTTGTTTCTCTCTCAGGTAAACAGTTTCAAACCTATTAGGTTGCATAGTTCTAGGATCATAAGCACCTTAACGAAATATAACTTGGTATTCTTTTTTCCTTGATCTTTTACTCTTCTAGTCTTGTTCTCATTTTTTGTTGTTGTTGTTGTTGGCTTTTTGTGTTGTTGTTTTGTTTTGTTGCGGAGAAAGGAAGTGTGACCACCTGCACACTATGGTTCTTTTATTAGTACATGGATGCATGTTGGTATGTAGAAATGCCTAGGGGTGTGTGTGTGTGTGTGTGTGTGTGTGTGTGTGTGTGTATGTGTGTGTCTGGGGAGGGTGTCTGAGTGTGCAGGGTCTGTAGCATGTGTGCATGTGTGTATGTATGGGGGGGGTTAGCACACTGCTATACACAGAGAGAGGGTCACGCAGACATACCTTACAACCTGGGTAACTGGGTGGGAAAGTGCCTATAACCGGCCCTTCCAAATTCATGGCTTTCTATAGATGCTATTTGGATTGGGCTAGCCCACGTCACTGCAGACTAGACAAGCTGACTTCTGGGCTCACCCTGAAAGGGAACTGAAAAGGACAGGCCAATGCTCCTGGTCACACGACTGATATCACCACTCTGATATCAGAAGAAATGAAGGATACTCCGTTCTGCCTCTCCTTCTCACTTCCCATCTCCTTCACCGCTTCATCTCGGAGCCCCGAATAGAGAATGTCTCCACATCTTCCTTTATCTGTTTCAGGTTTAGTTTTTAGTTTGTTTGTTTTGTTTTGTTAATTTCTTATATGTGTTTTTTTTTTTCCTCAGAAACCTTAAACATTTCTTCATTTTGCCACCGTCCTCTCTTGGACAACTCTTGTTCCCGTTCCCCCTGGGCTGGGCACTCTACGAGCACCCACACTCCTCCACGATCATGTTCTGAATGTCCTTCTTGATGATGTTCTGCCCGTCATCATAGTACAACATGGACATGGGTCTCAGCTTGGTGGGCACACAGCACGACTTGAGGTTGGAGAAGGGGCTGTACCCCCGCATGCGGTAGTGGTTGATGACGGTGGAATGGAAGGAGAGCGATGACCCCGACGTGCCTGCTATGTGGCTCGGGCACTCACCCTCGCAGTAGTTGGCATGATAGCCAGAGGGAGCGATGATCCAGTCATTCCAGCCAATGTCCTTGAAGCTGACAAAGAACTGTTTCTTACAGCAGATGTTGACCTTGCCATCGCACTCCAAGCCCCGCCGCCGTCTCCGATGGGGGTGGTCTTCCGATTGGCGGGCCTGCAGCATGAGGAAAGGTCTATGGGACTGCTCCTTCTCCTCGTCTCCTCCCGCCCCTCCTTCTCCTCCGGCCTTTTTCTTTCCTTCCCCCTCCTCTTCTTTCTTCTTCTTCTTGCCCATGAGCACGAGGCTGGCACCAGTCTCATGGCACTGCTCACAGGCAATCCGAATGTCCAGGGAGCTCCTGCCCTGGTCCAGCAACCGCTGGATGCTGCTGGAGACGGGAAAGATGTGCCAGGTGCTCTTCCGAGCATCCACTGCCTTTTCTGATATCAACAGTTCACTCCTCTCCCCCATTATTCCAACAGCCTCGGCCTCGTCCCCCGTGTCCAAGCTGCCCTGCGGATGCTTCAGCTGCTGAAAGAGACGGATAGTGACTTTGGTCCTGTTCCTGTTGGCCTTGGGGACTTTTAGGAAGAGCCAGATTTCTGCACGCTCCACCACTGACAGGTCACTGCCCTCTTTGGAAATCTCAAAGTGCAGCGTCTTCCTGGTGGCGCCTGAGAATGAAACACACAGCACAAGAGAGAGGGGGGACATGGTTAGTTCCTGTGTCTTCGGCTACTCACTAATTTCAGACGGCCGTGGGGCCTCTGCTACAGACCATCTGGAAAGGGGAGCAACAAAGTATGGCCCACAGGCCAATTAAGGCCCACAGGTTTTGACACTTCTAGATGATTGAAGAAAAATTGTATTTTATAACACGTGAACATTATATTCAATAATGTAAACGTCAGTGCCAATAAATAAAGTTTTATTGGACCACAGCTATGCTTATTTCTTTATAGGTTTGTCTGCAGCTACTTTTGCACTTTAATATGAAGTTCAGTAGCTACCACAGAGACTGGCCCACAAAATTAACATTATTTATTCTCTGGCCTTTTACAGGAGTTCAGCTCTTGCTCTAGAAAGAGCATGGCCTAGAACCAAGTGTGTCTGGGGGCTGAAGGGGACTGCATCTATTGATTAATTGCTTCATCTCAGTTTCATCTTCTATCAAGAGGGGATCACATATGACATTTGACCCATTCTCCGATAGGTTTGGGAGGATCCAATGGAATAACACAAATAAAAACACACTGTAAGCACTAGCAAGCTGTGGAACTATTATTCCCACACAAATATGCAGAGAACCCCTTAACCCCACCTCCAGCCTCAGAAGTCTGTGTGGCTTTTAGCTCCTCCTCCCTCGTCACAACCTGCTTCCCTCCCCATCTCTTCTTGGCTGGTCTCAGCATCTGCTTGCTCTTTCTTCTGCCTCTCCAGTGGGGAACCAAGCCCTTTTGCAATCTTTGCTCCAGGAAATGGAGAGCATAATCTTTTCCAAGGGTGGGTCTGATCATGCCCCTCACTCTTTACAGTCCTTTTCTGAGTTTCTATTTCCCTTGGTTTAAAACTGGAACTGCCCAGGACACTGCACTCTGCCTGAACTGCTTCTGCCCTCGTCCTCAGCGCTCTCTGCGTCCCATCCTCTGCGATCCAGCCCTCTGTGTTTGTCTGACGTGGTGAACATCGCATACATCCTTTTACCCCTGGGCAGTGACACGCCTGCAGTTCTTTCTGCCTAGAGTATTCCTCCCAACACACAACCCTCAGTGGCTGCCCTTAATAAGAACAGATTGCAGAAGGGAAGATACCACTTACTCTAGAAGCCTTCTCTAACATCTCCTGCCAGTCCGGTCTAGGATGCCCGGGTCTGAGGTCCTATCTATTGTGCACAGTGTTTAGCAGAAAGTAGGTGGCAGCATCCTTATCATTATTTTATATTAAGAGGTCTACCTGCTAACTCTGAATCCCCCATTTCTGTCTCCTTCCTTCAATGCAGCGCAATAAGCACCAGTGATAACAACTGCTCTAACAGAGGGAAAATCCCTACATGGGTAGAGTGATTGGATTCTGCAACCACTCAGTTCTTGCCTAACTCAAACATAAGAAAGTCACCTGTCTCCTTCTCTTTCCACTGGCACCTGTCTATTTATTCATGGGCAACCGGTACTCTAAGGGACAGGTGTTCAGACTAGAATTTTTGATTGATGAAGTATTTTTCCTCACTTCCACCTCACCCCTGGATAGTACATGAAACATGCCCTCTTTTCACGACCCCCTTCTGCATGTACCTGCTTAGAGCTGCCTGGCACACATGCATTCCATGTACAAATCCGAGAACAGTTTTAAATAAGTTCCTCTCAGAGCTTACGATTCCCGAGGAGGGTCCTCTGCCTGGACTTCTATAGCTAACGGAAATCCGGCCGTACTTATCACTCTCCACCCTGAGATGTTTACGGCACCATAAATTCTAGGCACAGTTTCAAGTTCCCTGCAGCAGAAGGCAGCTCTTCTGTGCATTGTGCACTGCAGATTCTGTTCTTAATTTAACACACGCTGCACACGGTGGTTATGATAGCGGTAAATTCCCTGAGGCCAGGGCCACGGAGGGCTGCACAGCAAAGGTTCTCTGGTGTCTTTGTATGAACATGCTAGGACCCTGGCCTTGATGGCGGTGGTGAGGAGCGCTCCTTTGACCTCAGGTCGCTGGCAGAAGGTGAAATGAACAGAAAGCTGGGTTTATGGTTCGATCACCAGAGAGAGGAGCAGTTAGAGGGGAAAGCTGTCTCTTTTTTTTTAGGAAGCATGCTGACTTTTTTAAAAAGTGAAGCCAGTATTCCTCTCTGCTAAAAATTGGTGGGTTTTTGTTGTTGTTGTTGTTCAGTTTTGTTTTTTTGTTTTAAGAAAGCAAAGAGAAGATTCCAGGAAGGGTAGTCATTTAAATGTAAAAAGAAGATCAGCAGCTGGCTTTAAGATGGAGGTAGGGTTTCCCCAAGACCAGAGTTGTAAAGGCGGCCAAAGCCTCGCACCCTCTGAAGACCAGCCCACCCATGGGAGCGGCAGGCTCCACTGAGGCCACAGGTCCTGCTATTGGAGGACATTCACAAGCCCCTGATGCTCTCCCTTCTGCTCTAAGCAGGCCAGCTTCTGAACCCTAAGCTGTGTAGGATGCCACTCTAAAGACAGAGAGAGTAGCTGCGAATATAGAGGAATCAGAGGGCACACAGTTGTGTTTTGTGTTCCTTCTCTCTCTCTCTCTCTCTCTCTCTCTCTCTCTCTCTCTCTCTCTCTCTCTCTCTCTCTCTCTCTCTCTCTCTCTCTCTCATTTCTAGGAATGAGTTTGAAACTGAAGCATCTGACTTGTCCCAGGGATGAAAGCACTAGGTTTCAGATAACCCATTCCCACAGGTGCTGCTCTGCTCTGCCCCATGCTTGCCTGGAGGGGCTAGGGTGAAGGTAGATGGCCCTCAGGTAAGAGAGGGGACAGGTGGCAACTTGAACCCACACATTGGACTTTCCATGAATAAAATGCAGAGATGTTTACAGAAGCTGGGGGATGGTTGATAGAGGGAGAGGGGGAGAAGAAGGGGGCAGAGGGAGGGCTCCTTGGAGGCGACCCAGTGACAGTATATGCACATAGATGTGTAAGGCTCCAGGCTGCTTACTTCCAGCAGCAAGCCTACAGGACAGCCTCTCCTTTCACAAGATCAGGTTTCTAATGCAGGAGCTAGCCCCACCCCTTCTTCACGGGCTGCTGTACTCAGAAGCAAATGATTTCGCGTTCCTGAGAGAGGATTGTACAAAGAGAGTACTCATTAGAGGGGACTCAATCTGTCAGGTGCCGTTATATTAGGATCAGAGAGTCCTCAGAAAATGACTTTCATCCCGGTCCGGGCGGAGAAGTCACTGCACAGCACCCCCTGGCACTGCGGAGCGCAGCGGCGCTGATTTACGCACTGGTTTTTCATTAACGGAGCCGAACACGCTTCCCTGTATTCCCATCCGTTGCCGGCATGCTGCATCTCTCCCCCATAGTTCTGACATTTGGATTTTCCCCTTGCTAATTGACATGCCTGTCGCCTCCTTCTCCTGGTGTCCATTTCTGGAACTGCTATTTGTATGTTGCACGATATTTTGTCAGGAATAAAATAAAACTGAGATCCCATTTCGTGAAAATGCTGTTGCCATAATGCTCAAGAGAACAGGGGGAAGAGAGAGAATCAAGTCTTCTTAAAATCTACCTTGCATGCAGGTACATTTTAAAAGTTCTATTGTGTTCTGACTTATTGAACAGTGCTTTTTTTTTTTTTTTCTTTTACATTTAGCTTTCATGGCAGAAGGGGGTGGGGAGAATGAGACAGCTAGAAGCTGAGGTGAAATGAATATCTGTTGAGGTTGTAGGTTTCAGAAAGGAATGGCAGCCTTCCTATTTCTTAGGGATGGGAACTAGAACTAGCTTCTTGATTCTATTCCCTTTATGTGTATGTTACCTGAGAGAGATTTCTATACTGCAGCGATGCTTTCAGAATGGTGCCCTCTTCCAATCTGTGTGCGTAACAATTTGAAAAATAGAAGGAGGTTACCTAAGGCTTAGGTGTTCAGGATCAATTACTGATCGGTTTCAGGATTGACTTAAATATCTCCTGCTGTGAGATCCTGAAATGGAAGCCTTCCCATGATGCTTTGTGAGCAGGTAACAGCATTTCAGTTTCTACAGGTGCACACTGGGCTCCTCCACGATTACCTATTGAATAAGATGCCGCTGGTGGCTTTGCTAACCTTTCATTACCTGCTCTGCTGATACTCTTTCTAGCCTCTGTGCTATTTTTTCCTCCCTGACGCTTGTGAGCAAGGCTTATATCACACAGCCTGCTCTGCCTGAGTAATTCACTGAGAGAGTCCCACACAAATCCTTGTGGGTGATAATATTTCATCACTTAGACCTCAATGGACATATACCAAAGGGAGATATTTAAAAAATGCCTAAAAATGGGAGGAGAGCTAAATTTTGCCTCTTACAGGGAGGGGACACCTGTGAAATGTTGCCGGTGGGAGGGGTTAGAAAAAGGGAAGGCGTGGGAAGCTGGGAGTAATGACATCTGACAACAGACTGTCCTCTGCTTTCGGGATTTTTTCAAATGTCCGTTGTATCCCCATCACAAAAGGGTTACATTCTTCCCTTCCCCCACACTGGGATGCTGTTCATCCCCCAAGTCCAGTAATTCAAATCTGTGGGTGGACGGGCTTATGAACATTTCCAATGAATTAAGCAATACACTCAGTGCTTCCTTTTTGTTTTGTTTTCCTCACCAGGGTCCTGTATAAAGTATGATGCCCTTCTATCTGTGGGTACTAGGTCCACTGTGAATGGGGAAAGCCTTGTTGTGTAAAGAGGATTTGAACTCATCTTGTGGGCAAGAGCCTCCCTGTAAAATATGATTGTTAACGTAATGCTCCGTTCTTCACCAGGGTTTCACTGTGCCTAGGTATGGTATAGTCACTGGTGGGGGCAGACAGAGCCACCAGTGACTGCGTGTGTGTTTTCTGAAGCATTAACTTTGCCTCCAGGGGGTTCTGCATAAGCAGCCAATGAGGACAAGAGCGCTTATGCCTCCTTTCACCTGCAGTCAAGGGTCCTGTCTGTAGCAAGACTGCACGTTTGGTCATAAATGGTCTTGATTGATTTTTCAGCCTTAATATATGTGCTAAGGACACGCTATGGAATTTCAATGATCACCCACATTCCTGCACTTTAATTTAAAAAGGGATGAAAAATAAGCCGGTTAGATATTTAGAGAGAAAGGGGTTTAGGGTCCCTAAAAGAAGGAGAATAAATTGCTAAGATTCAACTTGCAGACTTTCGGAAACTCCTTCCAAAGATCCTGGGAACCTTTACTCTTGATTTGAGATCTAGGACCCATTTCAGGCTAAAGAATTCTAAACTACAAGTATATTTTAGCAAAAAGGGCCAAGACATATAGGTGTTTTCATGAGAAGTGCCTGGGAAGGTATTCCTCCCAGGTCTCAGAATGTTACAATTGAGTTTCTACCCTGACATCCTCCCCCTCTCTAACACACCTCCTGCACAGCCCGACCTCTGTTCTCTCTCACCTCTTTCCTCCACCACATGCTCAGTTTGGAAACAAGCACATCCTCTGAAACTGCACACTATGTTCCCACAAGGCGTTAAATAAGTAGGCTTTTCCCCCTTGTTCACATCCACTTATTTGTCCTGTGTGAGAAGCATTGATAAGACAAGCAAATGAGGCAACAAAATCAGGGGACAGTTTTTTGCAAGAGCCCAGGCAGCCGTATTATGGGGAGATGTGTGAGCAAATCAGTATGGCTGATGATTCACGGTCACATTTCTCCATGCACTGTTTTGTTTGCTTCTGAAATTTATCATCCCACTGTCTTCCGTAGAGCTTGGGAAAGTTCACAGGCACCACTTTTCCTTCTGTCTTGTTTAATGTATTCCAGGTAGCCATGTTCCTCCCTTCCTATAAAACCCTAACATTTCCTGGATGAGAGGAAGAGAGCAGTAACGGATAATCACTGTGATTAGTGTGCTACAGACTGGGCCTTCCAGGAGGTGAAATTGTGTTTCCCTAAAAGATTAACTGGGAAGAAGCAAAAAGTCTTTGGAATGCGCCCTCTTGTGGCCCATCGTTTCCCATTACTCAGAGAAGAAAGTGTGTAAAAACACTCTGCAGTGAGGGGTTTTCGAAGAAAAGTACAGAAGACTGGAATATGATGGTGGAAATCAACTCCACCTTAAGATAGCTTTCTTGGGGTGGGGGAAATAGCCACCCCAGCAAGCCTTGTTAGATCCCTGTTTGGGAAGTGTACCTTTCAAACTCATCTTCTGGAACTAGATTCTCCAAAAGGGAAGAATCAATGTTGCTTTCAACCATACCTGACTATGTAAGCATTTTCCAGTCTTTAATGTTTCATTTGCCTCTCTTCAATAAATGCTATCAATTGCCAACTTAATTACCAGAACCAGCCTATAAATTTGGCAGCATATGGGGACTCGTCGATACATTGTCATGATACATTGACTGGCCAGCTATTGTCACAAATCAAAATATGATACTAAGATATAGCAGTCAAGAAGGCCACTGACTTTAGTTTCAATGACAATGGTAGTGAGTGTTGGCTTGATATCTTCCTTTCCTTTAAGTTTTAACGTAAACACGGGCGATTTTGTGCCGGCCATGCAAAGAATGGCTGGGCAATCTTGGGTGGCATAAATAAAAATAACATCATTTTTTGGGAACACATTTCAGAGAGTTGATGAGTGATTCCCAGCCACCTACTCAATAACAACTCCCATCAGTTTTACAGAAATGGGGCACTTTCCACCTGAGCACAATGGGGCAGAATCAGTTCAAAGAGTTCTAAGCACTTGAACTTTTGCAATTCTTCCACTGCTGTGGCCATGTCTTGGCTTTATTCAGCCATCAAAGAGACTAGGAGCAACAACTAACTGTGAGGAATCTTGCAGTTGAGAGGTGCATCTATGATATGCATCTGAGGTAAGCGTGCAAGTAACACTTATTGGCTGGAGTCTGTGCTATACCAAATAGTTTATAAAGGAAAGAAAAATACATGTCCCTTGCTATTCTCCACAAGTCTTTGACCTTTGACATACTTCGAATTTTATTGAAGTTGAATTATTCCAAAAGCAATAAAACGTTTTTCAGATATTCACTATAATCATTCAGAAAATAAATCTCTTTCCCAGGAAAACAGCAGCAAAGTATTCACATGGTGCTCTCTTTGGAGAATAGATGTGCATATAGCAACCATCAACTCTGCGAAATCATACTAATACAACTTGAAGTTGGTGTGTGAAACTTCTCAGATGGGAAAAATGAGCAAGTGCAATCAACCTTGTCTAGAATCCAGCAGCTCACCCAAAACTGAGTTGTAAACTCAACCAGAAGTAGTTTTCCATTACTAACCTTAAACTTTAGTCAACATGTGAGCCAAATGAATCACCTTGAAAAAATAGCTCAATTTCTTTCTAACTAAACACCTAGCAGAAAAGTTTTAAGCTCTAGCCGGTGTGGCTCAGTTGGTTGAGCGTCACCCTATGCACCAAGAAGTCACTGATTCGATCCCATTAGGGCACATACTCAGGTTGTGAGGTGCATAAGGGAGGCAATGGGTCAATGTTTTCCTCTCACATCAATGTTTCTCTCTCTCTCCATCTCTGTTCCTCTCTCTCAATTTAAAAAAACATTTAAAAAATAAAAGTTTTAAAAAATGATAAGATTTCACATAACTTAGTAAAAGAGTGGCACTGAGATGAAGACAATAAAAATTATATATATAAAAGGTCAAATTCTTTCACTGCACGATCTTCCAATGCCAAGAGAGCAGTTTGCTATTCAAGTCAGCTAAGTGAGAAAGCAGGACATGTTGCTAGCACCAGGTGTATATTAAAAGTAGTCAAGGTTTTAACGTAAAGGCATAGGTATACTCAGCCATCCGATGTGGTAAAGGCAATTGAAGAGGAGCTGCAATTAAGGCCATCCTGTGTGGCAACTGGCATATAAAAACACACAGGGTCCCCCTGCGTCAAGCCAGGGAGCAGCCCTCTGGACTGCTGGAACCCATTCCCTGCGCAGGACCCAGCGCCAGCAAACACTTTCTCTCCCACCTCGCTGGCCACTGGAAAGGTGGAGGGAAACTGGGTGGCAACTTGAAACCTCCCACCTGACTGACTTTCCTCCAAAAGCCTCAAAAACTAAAGTCCTAATCACCATGGCCTTGGGGGCCTCTATCCAGAAAGAGTTTTAGGGAAAGCAAGACCTTTAAAAGAATGTTGCTCTGATGAGAGAGCTAAACTACCCTGCCCGGAAGCTAACAGGACCTCAGGGCTCCTCAACGGGGGAAGCCATGAAGCCAGCCGTCCTGTGTGCTCCCCAAAAAGGATGCCCGTGTCTCGGAGGGTTTTCTTGAAAACAGAACCTCTGAGTCAACAGGTTTTCGGGACTGGAAATTCTGAGTGCTGCCCTTAATGTTTACACTGCTGCTGCGGCAAACTTTCCAGCAGAAGTGCTGGGAACCCCTGCACGTACTTCACTGGCCATATGCTCTACCCAACAAAACAATGGCATCCCTTCCACCTGGGTGTGCCAGGCGATAGGATTCCTCAGCCTGGCCGTGCCATGAGGCTAACATGGCATGGACATAGCCGTGTGCCCAGGCTTGCATGGGCTGGTAGGCATGCAGCAGGATCTGTGTCACAGAACTCAGAGTGACCCGGCTACAGGTCTCCGCCTCCACTTTTTGACAGGTATTTTCTCTTCAGCAACAGGTTAGGGAGGTCCTGAGCCAAAGATTAGAATCTATTTATTAAAGTTCTTCCTCTTAAGGATTGAGTGAGAGTTCAGTGTAGTATCTGAGAGCACTTTGTCAAGGTTGCATTCCTTGGCAGAGAGCGCTTAGTAACTTTACAGAGAACAAAACTCTTTTTTTTCCCTCCTTCCTTTCTCAGCTCAGAAAGCAAAAGTCAGTGTTTTTAAAAGTGACTGCCGGGTCAATGGCAACTGTCCCCTGCAGTCAGTCGCTCTTGGCTGCCTAGAATGAGACGCCTGGACTCTCATAGACAGACTTTCTGGAGGTAAAAGTGAATGTCACTCCTATAGGGTTGCCCTGCTTCTCTGCCATGGCCCCTGATTGGACTCGTAAAGGGAAGGTTTGTTTTAAGACAGTGACTTCATCTGTGCCGGACCACCCACCCCAATCCTACACTCCCCACCCGCCCCCGCCCCCACACAAACTTTGGATGGGGTCCCCCCGCCCCCCAAAGCCTCCTGAGTGCCCCCGCAGCCCCCTGACATGCCCCAGCTTCCTTCCATCAGGCTGCTCAGACCTGGTTTCCCAGACCAGGCAAGAGAGACCTCTCCCAGACCAGCTTCCAGCCTCAGCTTGGCCCCGGAGCTCCCTCCGGGTGCCCCGGGGGAAGACAGCAAGTGTAAGCTGGCCATCGCGAGCCAGGCTCCTGAGTTCCATGTCTCTGAAGTCCTCTCCCCCCTCATGAGCCCCCCTCCGCCTGCCTGCCTGCCACCTCCACCTCCTAGGGTGACCCTCCCAGGCGGCGGCGTCCAGCTGGAGGGGAAAGAAGTTGCTCCTAGGACAGTGAGGGAAAGACGCCCCCCCCACCCGCCCCCCGGGCCAGCACCCACCTGATTCCGCGAACGTGATGATCTCGGAGGTCTGCTCCATCAGTTCATTCATTTCTGCCCTCCTGCCGATGTCATCCTCTATCTCCACGTACCCGTGCTCCCCCACTTTGCCCACATGGAGCTTTTTGATCGCGTTCAGAAGCGCCGCCTTGGGCACCGGCTGGGTGACCTCGGGTCTCTTCTTCAAGTGCAGCATGTTCAAGATGTGCTTTTTGACGGCCTCCACCATCTCCGGCTGGGCGCTGGGGACCTCCTTGGGCAGGGTGGTCAGTGCACAGGACGGGCAGGCGGGGTCCGCCCCGGGCCCCTCGGATCCCGGGGTAGGGGAACTCCTCACTATAATCCAGCAACTCGCCAACAGAAATCCTCGCAGCCAAAGCAAGGGCATCCTGGCAGCAAAAGTTGTTGTGGTTGCCTTTTTAAAAGGCCCTGCTTGTCCTCCCCCCGCACGCACAGGTTTTTTGTTTGGTTTGGTTTGGTTTGGTTTTTTTTCCTTCTCCTCTTCAGCAAATTCTCTGGAACGAGAACAAAAAGTTTTCTGTGAAGTTTTCTTTGCAGGTTCCCTCTCTGAATGCAGTCAGTGCTGTAGGTTTGTGGCTGTCAGGGAGGAGAGTTCTGACTGTCTCCGAGTAAGAGAAGGAGGGAGGGAGGGAGAGAGGGAGGGAGAGAGAGAGAGAAAAAGGGAGGGAGGGAGGGAAAGAGGGAGGGAGGGAGAGACAGGGTGGGGGGGAGACAGAGACAGAGAGGATGGGGGGGAGGGAGAGACAGGGAGAGCGGAGAGAAGGGGACAGAAGAGAGAGGGAGAGAAGAGGGGAGAGGGAGGGAGGGAAGGAAGGAGGGAGAGAGAGAAGGAGAGGGAGAGGAGAGAGGACGATTGGCCCTAAGTGAGTGAGTGAATGGGAGAGGGAGGGAGTTTGTGAGTAGAGGCTGTGATTAGGAAGGGGAGGGAAAGCCCTTTTTCTGACAGGCTGCTTCCCCGCTGCTCACTGCTCCCTCACACACACCTCTCTCCAAATATCTCCCTTCTCCGGAGTTCCACTTTCCCTTCTGAAAGACGTGCTCCTAATTGTGTTCTACTATTGTGTTTGCCTCTGCCCAGTCCCCTTGCTTCACCTTCTTCCTCTTTTGGAGAGAAAAAAAAATACTCCCAAGTAAAGACACTGTCTCAGTCCTTCACTGAACGGACTGCCCCCGCCGCCCTCCACTCTCCTGGCCCCAGGCTTGGCCGGCTCCCAGCTCCCTGGCCTCCAGAGTGGGCTCAGGGTGCGGGACTTCAGGGGGGAGGCAGGGCAGGTCCGGAGGAGGGGTAGGGGACTACAGGGCACAGGGCCAGTCAGGAGTTCCAGCTTGAGGGAATCCCTGAGATCTTCCGGGCTGGCTCCCCATTCATTCATAGTTAAATGCTCAGGATCGTCCACGCTGGCAGGCCATCTGACAGGAACCAAGCGAGCGCCACAGAACTTTTGTTTGGGGTCATCTAATCCACTAGATTTTTCCCAATTGCAGGATGCCGCTGGGCTGGGCACTCTGTAGATCCGCAGGCAGGCAGCATTTTATGTGTGCCAGTCATCTGAAGCACTTTTCCCTCTGCTCCTCTGCTCGGCAGCCACCCCCTCCTGCCCTGCACACACACACACACACACACACACACACACACACACACACACTACAGCCCACCACCACTCGCCCTGACTTCATAGAGAAAATGCACAATTACTTGGCCTTTCCCACATTATGTCACACAAATAGTACGCTCTCACAACCTGAATTACTGGTCCTGTGGGGGTAAGCATCTCTAAAATACACTGGCGAGTTATTTTTTCTGTCTTATGGGGTTTTTTGCAGCCCCCACCCCATCCTGGACCCGTGTGTTCAGGGACTGGCCCCTGGGCGGCTTCTTTCTCTCTCAAAGGAGCAGCACAGATGAAATCATCCTGGATTTCAGTGTTCACAGTCAAAGAAAAATGTGGATTTTTAAACAAAGCCTCGCTGAGGTTGTTGTTGTTGTGTATTTTTGTTTTGTTTTGTTTTTTATTCTCCTCCCTGCCCCCGCCCCAGCCCCTTTTTTCATTTTCTGTCTTAATGCTTTTATCTTGCAGAAGTATCTTTAAGAGGTCCATCTGTTAAAGCTTTCCTTCCCTCTGGGTTTCTTTCCCACACATAAGCCCTCTCGGTTTCTGTAGATACAGTCAGCTTATATCTGACACCTAGCGTATTCAGAGCAGTATAGGCAGGCATGACAATTCGGGAAAGGGGAGGAGAAAGTTAATAAATGCCATCGCTGGATGCATAAGATCGGAGGGCAGGGAAGGAGGCTGAGAAAGTTGTGGCACTGAGTGAAAAATGACGGGTTTGCACAAGTAACGATGTTTTCCTGAGTTGCATACACTGTCTCCCTTTCCAAAAACAATCGCTGGCAAGACTTTCTGTGCCACAAGCCCTTTATCACCTTTGGAGTTTCACCTCCAGGAATGCCAGTTACTCCACCAATATTGTTAAGACTGTCAACATTCCCTCACCAGCCTAATACTTTAGTGAGGGGTGGTGAGAAAAAAAAAATGGGGAAGGGGACATTTGCATTATAATTGTTTAATAAAATAGCTCTGCAATATAATACGTATTATAATCAAGCTATTTGGCATTACAGATGCAGTATCTAAAGCATTTTGTAGTCCAATTAAGTTTTACAAGAGAGCCTGACATAGAACTAGAAGTTGAATGACTCCAAACGACACCAGAGTCCTAATCAGTAGCCTTTAGACAGTGCAATTTATCAGCATCAGGATTCCCTCTGCGGGAATATGTGCATGTTCCCTACCTTTGCTGTTTGTGAATGTAACCCTTCACAAATAGCTTTCTCATTTGCATGTGTATCCCTATCCATGTGCTGAATAGGTTGCACAAACACATCATCTATCCGCATCCTGCCCTATTACAAGCTGTGTCAACCTGCCTGGATGATATAAGAAGGCACAGACCATCCTGTGCATGGAGTGCCAGTCGGTTGTAAAATTCCCTCTAAGCATCCTGCCTAAGACTGTGTAAGCAGCTCCCAAGGAAGAGTTAAAAAGCATTACCTTTCCGGTGCTCTCTCTTTCACCAGCAGCCTCTTGTGTCATGTGGTCAGAGCTGTCTGAGTTCCTCTTCATGGTATTGGCTCTGAACTTTTATACTGTACTACTTACTTGTACACTCACACATTGGTACCACTCAAACAGGAGGGCTGGGGCTTTGTTTGATTGGTTAGAATCAGCATGACATCAGCAGATGACTAGTTTTCCAGTGTGAGGCATATTTCATAATCATTATCTAATGGAAAGACTTTTTTAGCTGCTTTTGGGGTGATCCCCGAGGCAGGAAACCTCTGGCTGACTAGACTACCTTAAAGAAAACTACTGGAATCAGTTATATCTCACTGAGTATCAGCTTCCAACTTTTCTTTTACTATTTGCACACACACACACACACACACACACTTCTCATTATATTCAGGTTCAGTTTTATGTCTTCACATAAAACATCTGTTACTTCATGAAGTTACCTCTATTTACAAAGTATTTTATTGTTTCTTACAGGCAAGAACATTCACAGTGCCCTTTATAGGGATTCTAATTTTACTTTTTTAAATAAGATATTCCATTGGGAGAAAAAAAAAAAAAAGAAGAAGAAAGCATATAGACTTATATGAGGATGGTCTCCCTTGCCCTGTCAACCCTATTATTTTACATCATGAAATTGAATGCCTGCTTCATAAATCATTTACCACCAACAACTTTGGAAATAGTCATTCTCTGCAGGTAAACATTATTAAGTATTCTTCCCAATCTTTAAAATCCTCCTCTCTGCCCCCCCCCAAATAATCTCGTATATTATCCTTCTTTATCAGATCTTGAGGTCTTATGATTTCTAAATGGTTACAAACATAACAAGAGATTAAAGAAAAGAAATTAACATTTCTCCTATAGGGGTTAAGTTGGTTGGGATTGTCTTTATGTGTATGTGTGTGTGTGGGGGGGGAGGGGATAAGGGGGGGAGTGTAGCAAGTCGGAAATCACACAGGAAGAAGGAATCTTCAGACCAGGATGGTGAAGAAGGGTAGTTTGGAGTAGAGCTGAAGCATGAACTGGGTCCTCATCCTAAGTTGAATAAAACGTGCAAAATTGGGAGCTAATGAAAGCCAGACGACCAGATACGTTGTTTTGCAGGCAGGAGTTAACATGCATAAAATAAACTTTTCACTGTGCCCACCAGCAAAATCCAGAGGCCCTGGCCTCCTCGTGTATAACCGAAGCTGGTTCCTCTAGGACACCATCAGTTTTCTGTGTAAGAGGATCCGCCTTGGCCAAACACAGAGAAAAGTGTGGGTGCCCAACTGGATGTGGGGGTGGGGAGCATTCGAAGAACTGCACGTGCAGAAATAAAGTGGGAAACCAAATCATTAGGGTGTACAGGAACAGCGGGAATCTGAGAAGGAAACACGGACACAGGACCAGTGTTGGCTAACTTCACACCAGACTATCCGTTTGGGCTTGCATGGATGGACTCAGACTCTTCATACCCTATGGCATGAGCCCCTCATGGAGAGCAATGGCCTGCAAGGTGTCCGAACTCACCTCCCCCGACACCCACCCATGGGAGAGCCTGCCTGTCCCAGAAAGAGCCCATGGGTTTGAGTTTGGGGGGCCCACAACAGCCAACCTGGAGGAGACCCAGGCCCCACTGCCTACTGAGCACTCACAGAGACCTCAGTGTTCTCTTCCACACAGTGGGATCCGTTCCTGAGTGGGATCCAGCGCCCTGCCTGGAGGAGCCACCCTGCCAGGGTGACTCACACCGGGTAGGCTCTCCGATGCCCACCCGTTGTGATGTCATCCACCTGAATCCCCCAAACTCCAGAGCTGAGACACCCTGGAGATGCCTCCTCCCTCCGTGCAAACGAAGGTGGGGGTGGCAGGGGAAGCAGGCATGCGAAAATAACTTCTCTGGAATATTCCGGGGGTGGGGGTGGGGGGTCTGGGAGGGATCTTTTTTTTTTTTTTTTTTCTCCTTCCAAACTCCAGGGTCCAACGTCAGCGGGGCCAGCCCAGCTCCTGTCAAGCATCTCTCCTCTTCCTTCCTCGCTCCGGTTTCTCTTTCACTTCCTGCCCCCTCCCCCCGCAGCTCCCCGCCCCCGGCCCCGCTGCAGCCGGCGGCTCGCTGCTGCTGCTGCTGCTGCTGCTGCTGCTGCTGCTGCTACTGTACCTTGAGCAGCACCTGCTGGCAGCTCCCGGGGATCACGCTGCGGCGCGGCCGCCGAGCCCTGCAGAGCAGAGCGGCCGCCTCTATTTTTACCCGGAGCCCCACCAGCAAGGGCAAGCAAGCTCTTTTCAGGGCAGCTCTTGATTTTTT